TGGAGGTGGGCACACATGCTCCATTGCCTTCTTTGCCTTGGCCCCAACCAAGAGAACCAACCAACACATTCATTTAGGCCCTGCCCCTGCCCGGAACCCCCAGAAAAGTCCAGCCGCCCCTCATTGGGCCCCGGTGTCTGAACCATCCTCCATGGGATAAGGACCCTGCCCCAAGCTGGGAGTGAGCAGAGCTGGTTTTGGGAACTGGCTCTGTCTCTTCCTAGGGTTGGGGGTGAAGTCAGGGGTGGTACGTCATAGGGCAAGAGGGCAGACCCTACAGGATCTCTTGAGGCCCCTGCTGCTGCCGAGCCTACACTCAGTAGGTGAAAGCTGTCTTCAGTGGGACCAAGGACTGGGGCCCTGGACCATGGCTCTCAGAACCTAAACACCGGTCCCTGGGTGGTCAGTGAAAGAGCTAGGCCTCAGATCCAGCTGTCCCAGCACCTTGCAAGGCCACTGGCCACCTCCCAGGCTCACCAGCCCTAAGGCAGAAAGCTTTCCCCCTTTCTGCTGAATTCCATTGCCAAGGTATGCTTGAAACTTCAGCTGGGAGGAAAGCTGGGGAGGAATCGGCCCTGGATGGACTCCACTGCACCCCGCCACCAGAAACACACAGGAATGGGCGCAAGGGGGCACCAGTGAACCATGGCAATCCTTCCTGCTGCGCTTAAGAGAGCAGTGCTTTGGGCCACCTACTCTGTGCACTCTCTCAAAGCTACAGGGGCAGGATGCGGCTGTGCAGAGCCCCAGCTCTAGGCCAATTCAGAGGATGAAGGTGCTGGGTCTAAAGGCAGGCACTTGCCCTCTATAAAACCTGAAGGCAGTGCCCCTGAAGGAAGCTGCTAAGCCTCAGGCTTCTGCCAGGGATGTGCATGGTCCTGTGCAGTTAGGAAAGAAGCCCTTCTAGGCCAACACTGTCCTGTGCTTAGGCGAGGCTGGGCGAACAGGGCACAGCTGGATTCCAGCATGTCCACCCACCTGGCCAGGCCTCCTGTGCAATACACTACAAGCACAGCTGCCCCGGCCCAGGGCTCCTGAACTGCACACTTTCTCTGCACTGTGAGCCCTGAGCCTCCCACTCTCTTCCTCCCTGACCCAGGCAGCATCCTAAGAGCATTAACCTGATTCCCCCTTGACCAGAAAGATGGGGCTTGGCAGCCTTTCAAAAAATTGTGGACCCTCTAGAGGGACTCAGGCAAGCCCACTCATTGTGGAACCCACAGCAAGGACCACAGGGTCTCCTGTTCAGCCACGGCCCACTGCAGAGCCTGCCCACAGTAGGGACAGGCTCAGACCATGGCGTCCTGTCTTGCTGGGGTTTTCCTGGGGCACATTCTCCTAACCTGGTCTCCCTTCCCCTAGGTGTCAACCAGGGTCCCTAGCAGACAGAGCAAGGGAGAAGGCCTATTGGCTGGGCTGCTTCCAGAAGTTTCTGGCCTACCTGCTGCTGTCGGTAGCCTGCTTCCTGCACCCGGTCCTGGTCTGGCACGTGACCATCCCAGGTAAGAGCATGGGGATAGAAGTTTGCAGCCCCAGCACAGGGGGGCTCTGAGCAGGAGGGGCTACCCCTCAAAGTCCAGCTCCAGTGGTAGCTCCAGGGTCCATACCTGCCCCACTGTCCTCTCTGACCTAGAGGGTGGGCATGAGGAATCACAGGAATGCCAGACATCCTCCATGCTGACCAAATGGCAGGAATGTCCCAAGAAGTGCATCCTTCCTGCATAGAGCCATCCAGAAGTGGAACTACGAAGGGGAGCTCACCTTTCTTCCCACTGACCGTGTGCACTGAGCTTCCCAATGGTGCGACATGACCACTTCCCTGCCCAGACCCTTCCGTATCTCCTCAGTGTCTACCCGTCAGGTCCAAACTGCTCAGCCTGGGTTGAAAGGCACTTTGGCTTGGCACCACGGAAAACCTGCACAGCCTCATCTACTTCCACTTCACTGGGTGCACACCACTGACCAGCCTGGTTTCTGATGGCAGAACCCAGGATTTCTTGCTCCCACCTCTTCAGCTTCATCCATGACCTTTTCTGCTAATGTCCTTCTCCTCTCTGCTCCCTGTCTGTGAAAACTGTGCCCTCTCCTCATGAACCCATCTACAATACGGGGAAGCCAGCCCTTCAGGGAGACCAAGCTGAAAAGCAAAGCCCCCATCTTTCGCATCCCCATCCCAGCCTCCAGATGGACCCCCCAAATCTGATGTGGGGTATGAAAACAAGCCAGGCAAGAGGGCCAGAGCCACAGGGGACTGTGCATGGCCCCACAGCGCATGCAAGGCCTCTGGATTTTCTCCGTGACTCATGTAGTGTCCTGACCTCCGGCTCTTTTCCAGGCTCCATGCTCATCATCACCGGCCTGGCCTACTTCCTTCTGAGCAAGAGGAAGAAGAGGAAAGCTGCCCCCGAGGTGCTGGCCTCCCCAGAGCAGTACACAGACCCCTCCAGCAGCGCCGTGAGCACCACCGGCTCTGGGGACACAGAGCAAACCTACACCTTCCATGGAGCCCTCAAGGAGGGGCCCAGCTCCCTCTTCATCCACATGAAGAGCATCCTGAAGGGGACCAAGAAGTCCAGTGCCCTCCAGCCTCCCAACACACTGATGGAGCTGAGCCTGGAGCCAGCCAACTCCCTGGCCAAGAAGAAGCAGGTACACTTTGAAGACAATGTGGTCCGCATCGTCCCCTCCCTCGCCGAAGGTCTGGATGATGAGGACAGCGAGCCAGAGGAGACCACCTCAGACACGACACCCATCATCCCCCCTCCCCAGGCCCCACTCTTCCTGTCATCTCTTACAGCCACCGGCCTGTTCTGAGTGCTTGCTCCAGCCTGGAGGACGCTCAGTGAGGGGTCTACCTAGCTCAATGGCCCCCACTGCAGTTTCAGTGTCTTCTGAGGTCAGCTTCTCAAGGGGAACCAGACACCCCCATGCTGGCTGAGCCCCTGCGGTCATCAGGAGGTGTGACAGGCCAGCATTTCTGCAGAAGCCTCAAGGGAGGCACGAACAAGGCTCACGCCACCTCAAGCCAGCAGAAGCTCCTTCCTCCTGGCCACAGGTGGGGAAACCCTTGTGATTCCCCAGTGAGACCATCACTCCCACTGCACACGAGGCTGCAGGTGCTACTGCCTCAGCCCAGAAGGGACAGAGGATGTCTGCCCAGGAAACGCCTCTGGGCTTTCCTTACTCCTGACCCAGGGATCAGAACTCCATGAGGAACCTACGGTCCACCCATCTCTGAAGGCCCAGGGAAGCACCAGCAACTTAAGCGTCTCTAAGGCAGGAGAAGGTGGCCATGGGTCTTGACCATTCGAGACTGCTCAGGGCCAGGAAGAGAGGCTGCAGGCCTCTGGTGGGAGGAGCCGGCCATTGGCCTCATTCTCTGCATGCTCTAGGGCTGGGGCTGAGCCGCTCAGGGAAACAATACCACTCTGTGCTCACTGTGGGAACGCCAGGCCAGATGAGCAAAGCTCATTCCAGAAGCATGGCTGGGGACTCCCTGCCTCCCCACCACATGGCCTTTCCAAGATTCCAAGTAGATGATGCAAACCGAAAGCCACTAAAAGCCTATGGCAGTTTCCAGCAGTGAATGCCATGGCCCAGGAGGCAGTGCCCGCTGTGTGCAGGACCACAGAGGCTGCCCAGAGGTCACACAGCATAGAGAAGTGGCATCCTTAAGTGCCTGGCAGCAGAGTAGGTGATAAATATAAACATCTTCAAAATGGAAGGAAGGTGGGGGAGGAAGAGGAGGGAAAACGGGAGGATAGGGGGAAGGTGGGCAGGCAGGCAAGTTCTCTGCCGTGGAGCCACGGAAGTGACAGTTAACCCAGAAGAAACAAAGACATTGAATCAAATGTTCCTTTGTAAACTATAAAGGATTTGCAGTATAGATTTTCCTTCTAAAAATTGCTGTTGGGTCCATGAGGTTGTTGCCAGGAAGAGCAGACACACCACGCTTCATGGCAACTGCAGTGAGAGAACAGTCAGAAGGAGAGTCCTGTGGCTTCCCAGTCCCCGTCGGGGCTGACGCCAGGCTCTATAAAATGAGCCTTAGAGCGCACGCTCCACAGTCTAATGAGAAACCTGTGTTTGTGCTTGCACACTTTTCAACGTTCCCTACAAGTTATTTTTACAAAGGTATGAAAATAATGGCCAACCAGAAGCTAGTATCAGTTTGGTGCCTAAATGCAGCAGGTGTTCCAGATAAGCAGATAAGCAGAGTGCTTCCTGTGGTAGCCCAGGTCTCTCCAATCAGATGACAAATGGCTAATCAAGACATTCCTGCAAGCCCTCGATGGCGAGAGTAGCAGAGCGCTTCTACAGCTGCCATCAAGGCAGGACCTCAGGATCTGACCATCCATAGTCAGGGAAGAGTGAACAATATGGGACATGGGTATGGGTAGGCGGTAGGCAAGGATGGTGCCCCGTGGCTGATGGGCCAGGTGTCCCAGGCAGGCCCCTGTGCACAGAAAGAGTCTAAGCAGAGTGGAGCCAGACGTCTTCCCCCTGTCGTGTGTGGAAGGGGAATGCAATGGCCACTGACACCCTCCCAGCACAGGCATGGCCAGCCTCTGACGTTCCTGTGCATCAGAGCACTCTTTCCTCAGAGCCCCAGCCAGCAGAGCTGGATGGCCAGGTCGCAAGAAGCAAACCAGAAAGTGTGATGTCAGAGCTGTCAGATCCCGTTTAATAAACACTTCTGTAAACCCAAGTGCAGAGTGTTGTTTGGGGTGTGTGTTAGAGGTGGGATGTGTGTTGGGAGCACGGTTTGGGAGGTGTCTTAGAGTGTGCGCTGGGAGTTCCAACCATGATATGATGGAATTCTGAGGCACCTAGGCTTCCTGGAGATTGTCATCAGTGAAGGGAGAGTCTGCTGGCGTGCAGTGTTAGAGGACAGTTATGATCTTACCTAGGTTAATAAAGTTCTCAAACACTCTTATGGCTACCAAAAAAAAAAACCCGAAAAGCTGGAGGGAGATCATTAAGCAGGCCAGAACTCTCACCCATCAGTGGACCAGGCAAGAAAGTGGCATCTTCCTCACTTCCTCATAAGCAGATGAGCACCACATACCTCCATTGATTCTCAGCCTGAGAACTCTGTGACCACATCCTTGTCCAGTGGGATCCCTGCAAAGCAGATGTTGTAATAATCTGCACCCTTGCCAAGAAGCAAAGTCTAGTAGGGCTGGCCCTGCTGTGATCCGCCTCCCTGTCCCAGCAGAGAGGGGAGCAATTTGTAGATGAAGAACAGAGTGACAGGAAGAAGAAAGCACACCAGGCTGAGGACCATTTGACCTCCACTAATACCCAACTGACCTTGCTCAAGCCCCTTCTCATCACTGGCTCAGGTTTCCCTATTAAGTGGGACTCACAGCAGTAACTCCACAAGACAGGGGCAAGTGCTTTTCAGAGAACTGCAAATCACAAGTCACTGTGATTGCACCACATCCCTAACCCTATGGAGGCCTCGCCGTCAGGGGCACTGAGGACGCACCACCCTGACTTGTGTCTGTGGCAAGGCCAGTTCAGGTCCAAGAGCACCTGTCTCCACTCGTGTCCAGTGCTAGAGCCTGGAGAGGGTACAACCACCAACCCTTACCTCAGAGGAAAGCTGCAGTGTGGACCCCACATTTGTGAGCAGCTGCACCCTAGGAGTCACACTGTGGGTCCTCTGTCTCCCTCTCCCATCAGCCCTAAGGTGGCTTTTTGGTTTTAGTTTCCTGAAATATCTTTATTGAGATATAATTCATATAACATAAAGTTCACCAATTTAATGTGTACAGCTAGGCCAGGTGCAGTGGCTCATGCCTGTAATCCAAGCACCTTGGGAGGCCAAGGCAGGTGGATCACTTGAGCCCAGGAATGTGAGACCAGCCTGGGGAACATAGCAAATCCTCGTTCCTACCAAAAATACAAAACATCAGCCAGGCATGCTGGCACACACCTGTAGTTCCAGCTACTCAGGAGGCAAAGATGGAAGAATGGCTTGAGCCCAGGAGGTCAAGGCTGCCGTGAGCTGAGATCGCTCCACTGCACTCCAACCTGGGCAACTGAGTGTGACCCTGTCTCAAAACCATCTTTTAAAAAATGTTAAATTTAAAAAAAGTGTACAGCTAAACACTTTCTAGTAGACTCTTAAACTATGTTCGTCAAATGTAAATTCACAACATTTCCATCATCCCCAAAAGGAAACACAACCCAGCACCCATTTGCAGTCACTCCCTACCTCTCATCACCTGCTTTAAGCAACCATTAATCTACTTTTTGTCATATAAATTGAATCGTATAATAATGATTTTTTGTGATTTTGTTTACTTAGCATGTTTCTGAGGTTCATCCATGTTGTAGCATGTATCTTCATTTCTTTTCATGGCTGCATAATACTCCATTGTATGGATATACCATCTTCTGTTTATCCACTCCTCTGTTAATGGACACTGGGGTTGTTTCCATTTTGTATCTATAATGAATAACACTGCTATGAACATTCATGTACACATTTTTGTTTGAACATCTTCTTTCATTTCTCTTGGGTATAAATCTAGGTGTGGAATTGCTGAGTCCTGTGGTAACTCTAACTTCCTGAGGAAATGCCAAACTGTTTTCCAGAGGGGCTGTACCGTTTTACTTTCCCACCTGCAGTGTATGAGGGTTCTGATTTCTCCGAGCCAACACGTGTCATCATCTTTTTTATTACAGTCAGGCATGCACTTAATGACCAATAGTGTTGAGCATCTTTCATGTAATTACTGGCCTTTGAATATCTTCTTTAAGCAGTGTCTATTCAAATGCTTTGACTGTTTTTTAATTGGGCCGTCTTTTTATTTTGGTTATAAGAGTTTCTAATATACTCTGGATACTGTACCCTTTACAGATATATGATTGGCAAATATTTTCACCCATTATTTTCAATTATTTTCACCCATCCATTCTGTAGGTTGTCTTTTTCCTTTCTTTTTCTTTTCTTTTCTCTTTTTTTTTTTTTTTTTTTTTTTTTTTTTTTTTTTTTTTTTTTTTTTTTGAGACTGGGTCTCACTCTCTCCCCCAGACAGGAGAGCAGTGGTGCCATCTCAGCTCACTGCAACCTCCATATCCCAGGCTCAAGCGATTTTCCTGCCTCCGCCTCCTGAATAGCTGGGATTACAGGTGTGCACCACTGCTGCCTGGCTAGTTTTTGTATTTTTAGTGGAGACAAGGTTTCACCATGTTGGCCAAGCTGGTCTTGAACTCCTGACCTCAAATGATCACCCGCCTCAGCCTCCCAAGGTGCTGGGATTACAGGCGTGAGCCACCATGCCAGCCCTTTTTACTTTCTTGATGGTGTCCTTTGAGGAAGAAACAATTTAATTTCAGTGAAATTCAGTTTATCTTTTTTTCTTTGTTGTTTATTCTTTTGTGGTCAAATCTGAGAAACCATTGCCTAACCAAAGGTTATGAAGATTTACTTCTGTATTTTCTTCTGAGACTTTTATAGTTTTAGTTCTTACATTTAGATTTATGATCAATTTTGAGGTAGTTGTTGTACATGGTATGAGGTAGGATCTAACTTAATTTTTTTATATCTGAATACCCAATTGTTACGGCATCATTTGTTGACTTGAACTGCCTTGGTCACTTTGTTAAACATTAATAGTCTGTAAATGTAAGCATTTATTTCTGAACTTGCAGCTCTAGCTCGCTGATCTGTATGTCAATCCTGATGCCATTGCCACATCATTTATTACCGTAGATTTGTGGTACATTTTGAAACCAGGAAGTCTGAGCCCCCTCCACATTTGTTCTTATTTTTAAAAATAGTTTTGGCTATTTGGGGTCCCTTGAACTTCCATACGAATTTTAGGATTGTTTGAGCCTGGCTTGTTGCTTGCCAACTTTCCCAAAAATTGAGATGGAATTTTGATAGGGATTTCTTGGACTCTGTAGATAAATCTGGAGAGCATTCTATTCCTTCTGAACAATATTAAATCTTCTGATCCAGGAATATAGGGTTTCTTTCCATGTATTTAGATCTTTAATTTTTCAACAATGTTTTGTAGTTTCCAATGTGCAAGTCTCACACTTCTTTTCTTAAAATTATCCCTGTTTTATTCTTTTCCATGCTTTTGTAAATGGGATTGTTTTCTTAATTTCATTTTCAGATACTAGAATGTAGAAATATGATTGGTTTGTGTATGGATTTTGCATTTTGCAAACTTGTTGAACAAATTTATTGGTTACAATCTTTTGGTTTTGTATTTTGTTTCTAAGATAGGGCCCTGCTCTGTCACCCAGGCTGGAATGCAGTGGCACAATCACAGCTCACTGCAGCCTTCACCTCCCAGGCTCAAGCGATCCTCCTACCTCAGCCTCAAAAGTAGCTGGAACTACAGTCACATACCACCATGCCTAATTTTTTACTTTTTATAGAGACAGAGTCTCACTATGTTACCCAGGCTGATCTCAAACTCCTGGACTCAAGCAATCCTCCTGCCTCAGCCTCCCAATGTGCCAGGATTACAGGAGTTAGCCATCATGCGGGATTGAACAATCTGTGTGTGTGTGTGTGTGTGTGTGTGTGTGTGTGTGTGTGTGTGTGTGTGTGACAGAGTCTTGTTCTATCACCAGGCTGGAGTGCAGTGGTGCAATGCCAGCTCACTAACTTTCGTTTTCCGGTTTCAAGCAATTCTCCTGCCTCAGCCTCCCAAATAGCTGGGACTACAGGCGCGCACCACCACACCCAGCTAATTTTTTTATATTTTTAGTAGAAACGGGGTTTCACCATGTTGGCCAGGATGGCCTCAATCTCTTGACCTCGTGATCCACCCGCCTTGGCTTCCCAAACTGCTGGAATTACAGGCATGAGCCACTGTGCCCAGCCTACAATCTTTTTTTTAATGGATACATTATTATTATCTGCATACAATACCATGTCATCTGCAAATATAGAGAGTTTTACTTCTTCCAATTTGGAAGACTTTTCTTTCTTTTTCTTGCCTAATTTATCTAGCTAGAATAGCTAGTACAATATTGAATTGAAGCAGCAAGAGCCAAAATCCTTGTCTTGCTCTTGATGGTTGGGGAAAGCATTTCATCTTTCACCACTGAGTAACATGTTAGTGGTAGATTTTTCTCAGATGCCCTGTATTGGCTTGAGGAAATTTCCTTCTACTTCCAGTTCGTTGAGTGTTTTTATCATGAATTGGTATTAGATCTGTCAAATGCCTTTTCTGAACCTATTAAATTGATTATGTGGTTTTTGTCCTTTACCGATAAGGTTCATTATATTTATTTGCTTTCAGATATTTAATCAACCTTGTATTCATGTAATGCATCCCATTTGCTCATAGTATGTTATCCTTTTACATGTTGTCAGGTTAAATTTTCTGTGTTGATGTACTTTGTTGACGATTTTTGTGTTTCTCTATAAGGGATACTGGTCCATAGTTTTCTATTCTTGTGATGTCTTTGTCTTATTTTGGAATCAGGGCAATACTGCTCTCATAGAATCAAAAAGTGTCCCTTTCTCTATTTTTTGAGAGTTTGTGAGAGACTGATACCAATTTTTTGTCATATTTTGGTAGAATTCTCCAGCGAAGGCATTTGGGCTTTGGCCTAATTCACACTCTTCACTTGATATAGAGCTTCAGATTTTTTTTTAATTTCACCTTTAAATCAGTTTCTGTAGTTTGTGTCTTCCTAGGGTTTTGTCCATTTTAGCTAAGTTATCTGATTTGTTGGCATAGTATTCCCTTATAATCTCTTTTATTTCCATAAAATCAATGATGCCCCCTCTTTTTATACCCCATTTTAATCATTTGAGGCTTCTCTTTTTTTCTTGGTCAATTTAGCTAAAATTTTGTCCATTTTGTCAATCTTTTCAAAGAAACAACTTGTTTTCATTGATTTTCTGTTTTGTTGTTTTATTCTGTTTCATTTATTTCTTTTCTAATATTTATTTTTTTCCTTCCTTCTATTTACTTTGCACTTAGTTTACTCTTATTTTTCTAGTTTCTTAAGGTGAAAAGTTAAGTTATTAGTATGACATATCTGTTGTTTTTGGTTTGGTTTTTTTTGAGACAGAGTTTCCCTCTTGTCGCCCAGGCTGGAGTGCAATGACACGATCTCAGCTCATTGCAACCTCTGCCTCCCGGGTTCAAGCGATTCTTGAGCCTCAACCTCTCATGTAGCTGGGATTACAGGCCACAACGCCAAACTAATTTTTGTATTATTAATAGAAATAGGGTTTCACCACGATGGCCAGGCTGGTCTTGAACTCCTGACCTCAGGTGATCGAACCTGCCTTGCGCTCCCAAAGTGCTCAGATTACAGGTGTGACCCACCACACCCGGCCATGTATTTGTTAATATAGACATGTACAGCTATAAATTTCTCTCTGGGCACTGCTGTAACTGCATTTCATATGTTTTAGTATATATTGTGTTTTTGTTTTCATTCACCTCTAAGTATTTTCTAGTTTACCTTGTGATTTCTTATTTTTATCTGTTGGCTATTTAGGAGTGTGTTACTTAATTTATACCTATTCTAATTCAGTCCATTGTGGTTGGCAAACACACTTGGTATGATTTCAATTCTTTTAAATATATTGGATTTGTGTTATGGCCTACCATACTGTCTACCTTGAAGAGTGTTCTACACGCTCTTAAGTAGAATGTGTGTTCTCCTATTGGATGGTGTGCTCTGTGGAGGTCTGTTAAGTCTAAGTGGTTTGTAGCGTTGTTCAAGTCTTCTATATCCTTGTTGGTCATCTGATTCATTCCCTTCATTATGCAAAGTGGGGTATTGAAGTTTTTAT